ATAAGTTCATCAGGAAGGCTACTAGAGGGTCTTTTGCATTCAATGCCTCACCTTCCTCCTCCAGAATCACATCCACGACTTCAATCAAAGAGCAGTTAGCAAACTCACTGGTCGCTGCATAGACTTCTGCACATTGAACGTTATTTCTTCATCGTTCAGTCTCATCTTTAGCTCCTAGTTTCACAATCAATCAGAGCTCTCCTTGTGGCCAAGAAAGGCCTTCCCATTATGGGAATCTCCTCGTCAACCTGGCAGTCCAGAATGACAAAATCTATCGGGAACACAAACTTTCCAACTTGCACAAGTACATCATCAAGTATACCTGATGGCTTTTTCACCGTCCGGTCAGCTAGCTATAGTAACATGGATGTGGACCTTGCTCTTCCAATGCCTAACCTTTTATATATAGACAATGGAATCAAGTTTATGCTCTCCCCCAAAATCACACAATGTTTTAGCAAAAGCATAGCTGCCTATGGCGCATGGAATTGTGAAACTTCACGGGTCAGATAACTTTTCAGCTACTGGTCTTGTCACCACATCACTACAAGTCTAGGTTAATGTTACAGTGGCCAGGTCTTGAAAATCAAACTTGCGAGACATCAAGTCCTTCATCATTTTTGCATAAACCTGGCATCTCTCGCAAAACATCTATCAGAGGAATGTTCACCTGAATTCGCTTCAACATCGCCATGAATTTTTTGTGCTGCTCATCTTTCTGATATTTAGCCAACCTCTGTGCGAAGGGTGTTGGAGGTTGCTTCATTCCTGTGACTTGAGTTGAATCCTTCTCAGACACTTTTTCTGATACCTTCTCTTGCACTTGCTCAGTCTCCTTTTCCACCTCTTTTTCTTTGCTGGTTTCCTCTTGGGCCTGTTGCACTGTTACCTCAGTTAAATCAATTGACTCATCTATCTCAAGTGGTACTAGCACAAGTGTTTCAGTTGGTTGGCTTTCTCGAGCAATTTCTTGCTCTAGATCAAGATCTCTACCATTTCTCAGACCTACAGCGATCAACTACTTCGGGCCCTGCTCTTTTGGATTGACGTGTGTGTCCGCAGGTAATGTCTTGGAGGACGATTATTAAGAGCCATGGATATCTTCCCTAATTGAACCTCAATGCCCTTGATAGTTGTGTCATCTGATACTACCTTTTCTTGTAGTTAGTGGACCTTTTCTTCCATCTTCCCGCTGGACCCAATGAGCTATTGTAGTATTCCTTTAATTTCGAAAAACCCATCATCTTGTCTCTCTATATGTTGTTGTTGAGGTTGTTGATAACCTAACTGTTGATTCTGCTGATTGTATCCCTGTTGCCTTTGATACGGTACAGCATGACCTTGTGGTCGTATAGCTCTGAGATTATTATTGTTATTGTTGTACTGCTGCTGTGCTGGTCTATACTGCTGATTCTGTTGTCCCAATTCTTCCCACCTTGTATTTGGCCCCCAAAGTTGCTCACATAGTTCGATTTCTCTTGGTAGTTCTGGCCGTCACTTTCACCGCTGACAAGCACACATATGGTTGGTTAATGCATGGTGTGCATAATCCTCCATGATTCGTATCAACAATGTGTACCTACTTCTGGCCTGATTCATCAATCTTCTTGGTGAGGATACTCATTTGAGTCATCAGAGTGGCCATATTCTCGGCTATAGAGTTGTTCGGGTCCAGCGCTACTGAGTGAACTACATGGGTGATTGCAGTGTCTCTTGTCATCCATCCTGAGTTTCGAGCCATTTTATCAAGCAGAACCTTACACTCTCTGAATGATTTGCTAAAAAATGCTCCATCTGCTGAAGCATCAACATTGGCTTTCAAGCTGTCTGCCAACCCCATGTAAAACCTCTGTCCCAACATCTGATCTGGAATACCATGGTGTGGACACTTAACCAGTATCCCTTTGAATCTCTCCCACATCTCTTGCAATGTTTTAGCTGGTTTCTGCCTAAAGCTCAATATCTCATCAACTTGCTTGACAGTCTTATTGGGTGGGTAGAATTTATTCCAAAAACTGCTTGACTAATTCCTCCCAAGTAGTGATCGAGTTTATGGGGAGTGAATTGAGACAATTCTGAGCCTCTCCCTTCACTGAGAATGGACCCCGAGAACAATCCCTTGTTCTGCAATAAATGTAGCATGTTGTTTGTGATTTGAAATGATTCAGCTTGTATCTGAGGGACTGCAATTGCGGTTTCCAGATTTTCAGTGGTGGGTTGTGCCCAATCATACAAGGCTACTTTGGCACAAGAGGTGCCACACCCTGATTTTCGGGCCATTCGCATTGTTTATGTTGTTTTGATTGTCATTGACGTCCCCCATGTCTAGTTCGATTGTTCTGTTGAGTTCTGTTGTCGTTTGTCTTTCTTGTTTGCTCGATTTAGTGTCCTGAAAGCTTTTTCAGGGTTCGGTAATGCTTCGTACAATTCACCAGTTCTTGAGGAGTTTCTAGGCATGCACCTGTAACACACAAGACTACAGACGTTAGAGTTTCAATATAATGAATTTCAAGTCTAGAAAGCTGACTAAACTACGAATCCTAGCTATTCTTCTAGTCGTAATTAATAACACTGTTGATTCCCCGGCAACGGCGCCAAAATTTGATCACGCCCAACTATGCCTCCTAAGAGGTCTAGCGAATGTTGCATATATAATTCGATTTACAAGTCTCGAGTCGAATCCTACAGGGAATTAACCTACTAATTACAACCACTAGTTTCGCAAGAATTCAAGTAATCAACCTTCAAAAATATTGAATAATAAGTTGATTGTTTATTAACTAAAAGCAAGGTAATTAAAAAGCTGTAATTTTATTACTAACAAAGCAAATGGTGTAGACAAGATTGGAAAGGTCTAAGGTTTTGATTTTCTCTATTGTCGGAATCTCTCCCGCTATGTTTTCTATAAATTCACCCAAGTATTCTCTACCGATCGTGAGTACTTTGAGTGTGTAGCTCTCTCTCGAGCAACTACCACAATTTACTAGACGTATTCTCTCGAACTACGCTAGCTGACACTAATTCACCGCTCACTACAATTGTACCAATGCTTCGTTATCTCTAATCCCGCCTTTAAACCCTCCGTATTGATCTCTCAAATACGTTAGGAGTGGTATTGTTCAACAACTACCTAAATACGTACTCTCTCTCGAGAAGTACACACTAAATAGGCACAGTCAATTGAGGGCCCTTCAACTAACAACAATAATAATATTGTTGAACAAATAGAGAAAAATAAAGGGCAAATTTATATTAAACATAGTGAAAATATTATCCTTCAATAGGTTCCATCAAACCCTAGATGAGAATTTAGCTACTCATAGTTGTTTGCACAAATACAAGATTGAAATTCATAACAATGGAAAATTAGGAAGAAAGAGGAAAAACCGTGAAGTTGAATTATTCTCCTTGCTCCAAGTGTGTTCTTGCCTCTCCAAAGTCTTCTCTCCCTCCAAAAAGTGGCTAACTTTCATATTTATACGGTTTTGGGTTGAGTTAGGCCGAATTGGCTTCTCCTAATTCGGATTGGAAAAGCTGAGTTTTTCTGCTCCGGTCCCGGTCTGGCGAAGTGATCCTCACTTCACTGTCCGGGACTTTCCTGATTTCTCTGCTTTGGTCCCGGTCTAGCGAGGTGAACCTCGCTTCGTTGCCTGGGACTTTTCTCTTCAGCTCTTTTTTTCACCAATTTTCTCCCATTTGATCCTTTTCCGCGCAAGTTTGTTCCTACACATAAAAAATACGTAATGAGCATATTTTCACTTTAAAAGCGATATGAACTCCGGCAACTCACACACGAAATAAAATACAAACACACTCAAAACATGCATTTTTTACCCTTTATCAATTGAACAGTGACCTCGTCCTCGATTGCACCCTTGGTTCGAGCCCAGTCGTGAATGAAGAACAGATCAAGTGAGCAAAGTTCTTAACAATAGCTAGAAAGTAAAAGTAAACTTTTATTTGGATTGCGTGTTACAATGTGTCAGATCGAAGAAAAACTTTTCCTTTATATAATAGGAGAATTTCAGTCCTAGTACAAGTCTAAAAAGGTAAAAATCTTCTTTTCCCGAAATTATTGGTCCATAGTTGATTCTGAACGAGATTCACGCCGTAATGCCCGATCGAGGGAGACTATTACGGCCCCCTATCAGTTGTGCATAACTGTCCACCGCGTCTCCCCAGGTCTAGAAGTTATACTTGGTCCGAGGTGCGTTGCTTTACCGTGTCCGATATCGGATATATCGTCCATCCTTCCCGGGTCTCGATACGATGTGTCTCTGGCCCCGATTACAATCTCGTGGATCCGCGTTTCCCCTATGTTCTTTCATCGGGGAATCGGGGTAGGCATTATCCCTGATTTTACCCGTACACAATTTTCAGATAAGTAACTTTAAAAAAACATTCTGTAGAATAAAGAACCAATCTGCTTCTTTCATTCCAAATTCAAATAAAATATGCTATTTAGAATGAATTAAATCAAACGGTAGGTGGAACAATAATGGTGTTACTGTTGACTTGCTGGAAATACCAATTACCATGACCCTGAAGGAAAACACGTAACAACAGAGATCCAAATTTTTTGGCCACGGCTCATAATAAAGACGGATGCTTCAAATGCTCACCAAATATGGTCGTTGAAATTTAATTAAGACTTCAGCTCATCATTTTTTATCTCCTATGGAGTAATCGTACAAAACTTGTTTTAGTGTGTTCACTGAAACGAAAGAGAGACTTAGTGCGATGGTAAATTTATTTTCGTGTAACCTATAGGTTACGGGTTAGAGCCGTAGTACTGGCCATTAATGTATGCATTTAGATTAGACCGTCTACACCATACTTTTTGAGGTGCAGTTCTTCCCGTACCCTACATCCTCTAGTGTTCACTAAAATCAATCTTTTATTAATATTATTTGTCCTTATCAGCAAGAACAAGTGCTGCTCGGGGATTACTCTTATCAAATTATGTAAAAGCTTAGAACTTAATATAGGAGAATTTCATTGTGTGCGAGACAAAAAGTTAAAGAAGAGTTTTAACTTTTTTGATATTGTCATTACTATCAAATTATGTAAAACTGATTACAGATAAATTATCTGTAGTAATAGTAAATTGGGAAGTGACCTGGTAATTATTGTAGTAAGACTTTCTCTATACATATTAACCCGCCAAAACGGCCCAAACGAATTTCTGTCCGACTCGTAACCGAGTCGATGCGTCACAGAACCTCTCTTAAGCTTTTCCCTCTCAGAAAACATTCTCTGCTTCTCCATAGCCGTTGCAAATTCTCGGCGACACAGCCCCGAATTGAAAACCCAAACCCCCTATCATCTCCAAATATTCTTCTTTACAACAATCTCCTGAAAATATGCCACCAGGAATGCAAAAAACTTCAGTCCCGCCATGTGCTCGACGAATTGCCCCAGAAAGCAGCACGTGCATCGAAAGCTTGCAAAACCATCCATGTGCAAAGCCTGAAACATGGGATTGCATCACAAGATCATCTGGGGAATGCCATTGTGGATTTATACGCCAAATGTGGAGACATGGTTTCGGCTGAGAAATCATTTTTTGGGCTCGAAAACAAGGATAGCATGGCTTGGAATTCGATTTTGTTGATGTATTCGAGACATGGGTTGTTAGAGAATGTCGTAGAAGCTTTTGGGTCAATGTGGAATATTGGTGTGTGGCCGAATCAGTTTAGTTATGCTATTGTTTTATCCGCATGTGCTAGGCTAGTGGATGTTGAGCTTGGGAAACAAGTGCATTGTAGTGTGATGAAAACAGGGTTTGAGTTTGATTCCTTCACTGAAGGTTCTCTTATTGATATGTATGCAAAATGTGGTTATTTGATCGATGCTCGGAGGATCTTTGATGGGGTGGTGGAGCCGGACAATGTTTCTTGGACTGCAATGATTTCTGCTTATGTAAAAGTAGGTTTACCTGAAAAAGCGATGGAAGTTTTTGAGGAGATGCAGGAACGAGGGTGTGTGCCGGATCAAGTGGCATCCGTGACCATCATAAATGCGTGTGTGGGATTAGGAAGGCTTGATGACGCTCATCAGTTGTTTTCGCAGATGGCTAGTCCGAATGTTGTGGCATGGAATGTGATGATTTCAGGGCATGCCAAGGGAGGGAAAGAGGTGGAAGCTATACAGTTTTTCCAGGACATGATTAAAGCTAGCATTCGACCCACACGTTCTACCTTGGGAAGTGTTTTCAGTGCAATTGCAAGCGTAGCAAATCTGTCCCTTGGCTTACAGGTTCATGCTTTGGCAGTTAAGCAGGGATTAGAATCCAACGTCTACGTAGGTAGTTCTTTGATTAATATGTATGCCAAATGTCAAAAGATGGAAGCTGCAAGTGAAGTATTTAACAGCTTGGGAGAGAAAAATGAAGTGTTGTGGAACGCATTGCTTGCAGGTTATGCACAGAACGGCAGTGCTTGTGAAGTTGTCAAGTTATTCAGGAATATGAGACTTTCTAGTTTTGATACCGATGAATATACTTACACTAGCATACTGAGTGCATGTGCTTGTTTGGAAGATGTGGAAATGGGGCAGCAGCTTCATTCTATTATCATTAAGAATAAATTTGCATCTAATTTATTTGTCGGAAATGCTGTAATAGACATGTATGCCAAATGTGGTGCTCTAGGTGATGCCAGGCGACAGTTTGAGCAAATGCTAACTCGAGATAATATTTCTTGGAATGCGATAATAGTTGGATATGTTCAGCAAGAAGAAGAAGAAGAGGCTTTTATCATGTTCCAAAAAATGGTATTGGAGGGAGTTGTTCCTGATGAGGCATGTTTGGCTAGCGTACTCAGTGCCTGTGCCAATATACAAGATCTCAATAAAGGGAAACAAGTTCATTCCCTGCTGGTGAAATATGGCCTAGAAAGTGGCCTTTTTGCTGGAAGTTCCCTTGTTGACCTGTATTGCAAGTGTGGTAATGTAACTTCTGCCAGTGAGGTTTTCTTTTGCCTTCCTGATCGAAGCGTGGTGTCAACTAATGCTTTAATTTCTGGTTATGCTCAGACAAATATTAATTACGCGGTGCATTTATTCCAGAATATGCTTGTTGAAGGACTAAGACCTTCAGAGGTGACATTTGCTAGTATTCTTGATGCATGTAGTGGCCAGGTTTACATGCTTGGGAGGCAACTGCACTCTTTCATTTTAAAGCTTGGGTTTTCATATGACGATGAATTCTTGGCAATCTCTTTGATAGGCATGTATTATAACTCCGGAAGATTAGAAGATGCGAGATTGCTTTTCTCAGAGTTTACAAAACTAAAGAGCCCAGTTCAATGGACTGCTATGATATCTGGCAATATTCAGAATGACTGCTGTGAGGAAGCTTTGCTTGGTTATCAGGAAATGCGCAAGTTTAATGTCATGCCAGACCAGGCAACTTTTGCTAGTGTCCTAAAAGCATGTTCGACCTTGGCTTCTATGCAGGATGGCAGGAAAATCCACTCTCTCATTTTCCATACTGGTTTTGACACATATGAATTGACCGCTAGCTCCCTAATAGATATGTATGCTAAATGTGGGGATGTTAAAAGTTCAGTGCAAGTATTTAGTGAAATGGTGAGCAAAAAAGACGTTATCTCTTGGAATTCTATGATAGTTGGCTTTGCAAAAAATGGTTTTGCGGAAGATGCACTGAAAATCTTTGAAGAAATGAAGAGAGCATCTGTGAAGCCTGATGATATCACATTCCTTGGGGTTCTCACTGCTTGTAGCCATGCAGGAATGGTATCTGAGGGTCGTCAAATCTTCAAGGATATGACTAGCCGCTATGATGTTCGGCCACGAGTAGATCACTGTGCCTGCATGGTTGATCTGCTTGGTCGTTGGGGTAATCTCAAAGAGGCAGAGGAGTTTATTGAGAGATTAGATTTTGAACCAGATGCAATGATTTGGTCTGCTTACCTTGGTGCTTGCAAAATCCATGGGGATGATATAAGGGGGCAGAAGGCTGCTGAAAAGCTTATTGAGTTGGAACCCCAAAATTCTTCTTCATACGTACTGCTATCTAATATATATGCTTCATCAGGCAATTGGTGTGGGGTTAACTCCTTAAGGAAGGAAATGAAAGAGAAAGGAGTGAGGAAGCCCCCTGGCTGCAGTTGGATTATAGTGGGGCAGAAAACAAATATGTTTGTTGCAGGGGATAAATTTCATCCGCGTGCTGGTGAAATTCATGTACTTTTGAAAGATTTGACTGCATTAATGAAAGATGAAGGCTATTTTTTTGATATAGGATCTGTAAGGGATAGTGATCAGCTTGAGTCCATTTTATCTTCATCTCAAGAGTAATCGAAGACCCAAGAATCTATGTTAGATAGACTCAAGCAGAGCTATCCTAGTGATCCTTTTGGCGGAACTGGGTGTTTTTTCCCTCTTGGCGAACTGGATGCTTTCTTATGCTTCATTTAAAATGTCACCAGTCCACGCTTAAACCCATGAAATGTACACTAGACAAGCTCTGATACTGAGAATCTATGATGAAGTTCTCCCATTGGTTGGCTGAAGACCTGTCCTGAAGGATAGTTCCTTGAGTGTTGGCTTTAAGAGGGTTCAAATGTTATTTTCGTTCAACACAATTTCTTGATGCATGACAAAGGAACAATACGGCTCGCAAGGTTCTGAGTCTTATTTTAATATTTAACAGACAAGTTGTGGACACAAATATAGCTTCAAAATCCTGCTCGAAGTGATGAACCACTCTAACTGATTATCTTGAAGAATTTTGAACGTCTACACTACCAAAATCCTTGCTTAACTTTCTGTAAGTTACAGCTATTACCTGCTAACAAGTGGTCTTATTTTCTTGTCTTAATGATACGTTCTCCAGAATAAATTGGTCACATTAGTCAGTAAGGCTATAGTGCTATCTTCATGACTGGAACCTATCTATAAAAATATCTTTTTTGTTTCATCTATACGTTTGGTGTAAAGATAAGATTCATCTTTTGAAACACAACTGGAGTTCATACACCCTCATTCTGCATTCCTTTGACACCATCTTGACATAAAATTAATGAAATCATTGACTTAACCAAAAAAAGGATGCCGATAATCCCTCCCCTATAGTTCTCGATAGGAGGAAAATAATCAAAAGACCTAAAATTTAATAGTTGATTACTTTCTTTTTCAGCCTATGTTTATATTATCTTTCTTTTTAATCTCTCATTGCCCTAGATTTCTTTATATGAATTTGCGTCAGTCAGTCGACATTCAAGATATGCAATTAACCAACATCATGGCAATAGAATAGCCAAACAGGCAACTCCAATAAATATCAAACTGGAAGCTGCAAACTACTTACACCTTGATTGTTCTTCACAATTGGACAAGACCATCACCAAGGAATACGCCATGTGATCCTTGGATATAAAAATCACTAGAAGAAACTGACATCAAATGCATTTTCCCACAAACATAAATGACCACATTCTGGGAGATTGGTCACAGCCTACGGTCTAAAAAAATTAGGATTCAAACTTGGACAAGGACAAGGATGGTAATCACAGTGAGGGTCCCAAACAGATAAAGAAGCTTAGCAGTTAGCAGATATATTAAAGTTAACGTCCTTCAACATTCGAAATAGAAAAAGAATTTCTGGAGCAAGGTGAAAAATTTGAATCATCAGCGCTTCCGTCTTTGCTATATGCAGGTCGCTTAGGCGAAGGAAGAATTGTGTCATTGCAGAGCGTGGAAACAATTGTAGCTGTATTTGGCCTATCATTTGCATGTTCTTGCACACAAAGCAAGCCCACAACGATGCATCTAACAACTTGTGTTGTTTCAAGTGAACCGGCCACCCTTGGATCCGGTAAATCCAGTATCTTCCCTTCATTCCAAAGTTGCCATGCCTAAATTCATTGATGTTTCACTTTTAATTAGTTCTGTCAAGTGAACTAGTAGTATGGAATAGAAGAATATTTAAATATGAGAAAATGAAATATCCTTCCAGTTTTTTTACATGTTCCAGGAGGTTGAGAGAGTCTTTGGAGTGAGAAAAGCTGTTGTTTCTTTTACTGCTAATAATCTCTAACAATATGACACCAAAGCTGAAGACATCCGACTTCTCAGAAAACATTCCTTGTATTGCATATTCAGGGGACATGTAACCACTGCATTGGAGCACGGAAACTTAATACTCTTTCAGGTCATGACATTTGGTACATAAATATATATAATTAAGACACGACCATGGTGTGGGGGAAGTACAATTTAGTTCAGATGAATTTCACTGCGATGAACAATACTTACTAGGTACCAGCAATCCTGTTGGTATTTGCTATAGTTTGCTTCCCTCCAAAAATCCTAGCCATTCCAAAATCTGAGATTTTGGGATTCATATCTTCATCTAAGAGAATATTGCTTGCCTTGAGATCTCTGTGAATGACTTTTAGTCGTGAATCACGATGCAGATAAAGAAGCCCTCTAGCAATCCCTTCAATGATGCTATATCGTTGATTCCAGCTCAACGCCGCCTTATCATCAGATCTTGATCCTGCCAAGCACACAAATTAATGACAGAAATTTTGTTGCTTTGGATTCTCAACTCAGTAACCATCATTCATCAAGAAAACTATTACTCTTCTTAATTAGCTCACCGAAGATGAAAACATCTAAGCTTCTGTTGGACATGTATTCATAGATGAGCAACTTTTCCTCCCCATGAATGCAAAAGCCCATCAATTTGACTAAGTTTCTGTGTTGAAGTCTGGAAATTAGTGTAACCTCATTTTTGAACTCCTCTATGCCTTGTCCTGAGCTCCTCGAAAGTCTTTTTATAGCAACCTCTTGTCCATTTGGTAATACCCCCTATATATGAATCACACATGACTTCAACTTATAAGCAAATATGTTTTTTTCTGCTGAAGGATGATTAAAACACGCACATGATACCTTGTAAACAGGTCCAAATCCCCCCTCTCCAAGTTTATTCCGAGGGCAAAAGTTTTTAGTAGCAGTTTCTATGCACTTGAAGCTGAAAACTGGTAACTCTGAACTGCTACCTTGAGTAAAACTTTTATGAAGCAAATTTGCTGCTGAAGTGTGTTTTGAAGCTATCCTTCCTCTGCAAGAAGGGATTAAACTCCCAATGCCTGATCAAAGCTAGTAAAAATTAAAAATTGTCTCCAAAAGGTAGCAAAAAGTTGTGCCTCTGAATCGCTTAAGATCTGTAATACTTGAATGCGTTTTACCAGTTTTTCTGATCTTCAATATATATAGAGTGCAACCAATAAGAATTAGGCCTACTGTTGCTGAAACAATAATTGCAATACGGGCTCCCATTTGCCTCCCCTTATCTGCATAACAAAAGGCAACTCGATATAAAAAATAAAAATAAAACATGAAGCCTAAATGTGATGCAACAAAACATGATGTCTCAGGTTCAAATTCCAGTAGAGGAAAAAAACTACTAGGTGATTTTTTCCCATTTATCTAAGCTTTGGTGAGCATAATTTCCTGATATCTGTGCTGGTGAGAGTTTGCAGGTACCTGGTGAAATAGTTTAGGTGTGCGCAAGTTGGCCCATACATCATTATCATTTAAAAAAATCTAGAATGTGAATCCATCAAATGATTAGAGATGGATAACATAGGCATAGTACTAACCTTCGTGTTCATAGAAAACAACAACAACAAAAAAAAAAAAAAAAACCAGTGAGTTCCCATAAGTGGGGTCTGGGGAGAGTAAGATGTACGCAACCTTACTCCTACCTTGGAAGGCAGAGAGGCTATTTCCGATAGACCCTCGGCTAAAGAGAGGATTAAAAAGAATGACAACAAGTACGAACAACAACAAGATAAAAAGAAAACCGAAGCCAAGATAACTGTTAAAAGCTAGGTAGTAATAGCAATCTATGAATAAAAAGATATCATACTAACACTAATGCTATCGAACTGAGGAAGACAAAGGAAATGCTCGGCTACCTACTAATCTTCTACCCTAATCCTCGACCTTCATACCCTCCTATCAAGGGTCATGTCCTCAGTAAGCTCGAGCTGTGCCATATCCCGCCTAGTCACCTCTCCCCAAGACTTCCTAGGCCTATCTCTTTCTTGATACCCACCAAGGTTAACCTCTCACACCTTCTAACTGGGGCTTCTATGCTTCTCCTCTTAACATGCCCGAACCATCTCAACCTCGCCTCTCGCATCATATCCTCCACGGGGCCACTCCCACCTTATCCCGAATAAATTCATTCTTAATCTTATCTAACCTGGTGTGCCCACACATCCACCTTAATATCCTCATTTCAACTACTTTTATCTTCTGGACATGAGAGTTCTTGACCAGCCAACACTCTGCCCCATACAACATAGTCGGTCTAACCACTACCTTGTAGAACTTACCTTTAAGTTTTGGTGGCACATTCTTATCACACAAGATTTCGGAAGCGAGCCTCCACTTCATCCATCCTGCACCGGTACGATGAGTGACATCCTCATCAATCTCCCTATTACCTTGTATTATAGACCCAAGGTACTTGAAACTTTCTCTCCTGGGGATGACTTGTGTATCAAGCCTCAAATCTATGTCCGCTTCCTGGGTAACTTCGCTAAACTTGCACTCCAAGTACTCCGTCTTGGTCCTGCTCCGCTTGAAGCCTTTAGACTCAAGAGTCTATCTCTAAACCTCCGGCCTTTCCTTAATGCCACCTGTATCTTGTAAATCAGAGCTCATCATCTGCAAATAACATACACCATGATACCTCCGCTTGAATGTATCGCGTCAACACATTCATCGCCAAAGAAAACAAAAATGGGCTAAGGGCTGATCCCTGATGCAACCTCATCACAATCGGGGAGTGTTCTGAGTCTCCTCCCGCTGTCCTCGCTTGTGTCTTAGCTCCATCATACATGTCCTTAATCACCCTAATGTAGGCTACATGCACACTTTTAGCCTCTAAGCACCTCCATAGAACCTCTCTCGATACTTTATCCTACTTTCTCTAAGTCAATAAACACCATATGCAAGTCCTTCTTCATTATCCTGTACTGCTCCACCATTCTCCTCACCAGATGAATGGCTTCCGTAATCGAACAACCCGACATGAAACCGAACTAGTTCTCGAAAATAAATACACTCCTCCTCACCCTCCCTTCCATCACCCTCTCCCAAACTTTCTTCGTATGACTTAGCAACTTGATACTCCTATAGTTGTTGTAATTGTGGATATCACCCTTGTTCTTGTACAACGGAATCATCATATTCCACCTCCACTCTAGGTATCTTCTTCGTCCTAAAAATGACGTTAAACTACCTAGAGAATCATTCCAAGCCTGCCTTACCTGCACTTTTCCAGAATTCTACCGGGATTTCGTTTGGCCTGGTTGCTCTATCCTTGCTCATCCTACGCATCGCCCTCTTGGCCTCCCCCACTCTTATGCGCCTACAGTACCCAAAGTCTCGTTGACTCCCGGAGTGCTCCAAATCACCCAGCAAAATGTTCCTATCCCCCTTTCATCCAAGTTATGGAAGTATGACTGCCACCTCCGCCTAATATGTGCCTCATCCATCAGAAATCTACCCCCCTCGTCTTTAATGCACTTCACTTGATCCAGATCACGGGCATTCATTTCTCTCACTTTGGCCAGCCTATACCTATACAGCTTCTTATTCGTGGCTTTCTCCCAAGCTCTTCATACAAACGTCCAAACGCCGCAGTCTTAGCCGCTGTAACCGCTAACTTCGCCTCATTCTTAGACTTCTTATACCACTCTCTGTTGGATCCTCTTCTCCTCCTCGTCTATGCTCTCTACTAGCTTCAAATACGCTGCTTTCTTGGCTTTCTTTGCCTTGGACCTCTTCAATCCACCATCAGTCTCCTTTGCGGCCACTAGAGAAATCCTTCGAGACCCCTAACACCTCTCTCGCAACTTCTCTAATACAGTTTGATGTCATGGTCCACATACATCTCGCATCTCCACTGTTCCTCTAGGCCCCCATAACCAATAACTTCTCCCCCAACTCCTGAGCTTTGTCCTTAGTCAAGGCATCCCACCTGATCCTAGATAGACCAGACACAACCCTCTTTTTCCTTGTACGCATGATCGCCAAGTCCATAACCATTAGCCTATGTTGAGTCAATTCTCACTCGGGATGACCTTGCAATTCGTGCATAAACCTCTATCACACCTCCTAAGAAGTAGATAATTAATTTGGGTCTTGACCACCGTATTCCGTGTTCATAGAAAAGATAGAGAGGAAAAAAAAGAAGACAAACCAAATCCAAATTGAATTGAAAATTTCGTTCAAGGATTAATAGAATGAGATGTTTATAGAGAAGATTGGTGTATTTACCAAGTTGGGAATGTGCCAGCCGAATGTATAGTTTCTCTCCACCATGGGAGAACTCTTGGAGATCAATCAGATCTTTTCCCCAAATCATGCAGCCTATTCCATCCACATAAGCATATGCCAAACAAGAACAATTCTTCAAGCAAGAATCTTGGCATTCCATTTTATCCCAAGTAAGTAGGTAATGTGAGAAATCTGGTAGTTTCATTCCTGAAACTGGTAAAAATACATCCCTCTTTCTCTCATCATCATCAGAATTTGGACTTGTCTCCTCACACTGGAATTTTGCTCTCCGAACACAACCACTAATCCAATTCCCCTTGTTCCATTCACTCATAGACTTTGGTTCATAACCCTTGAAACATTTGCATATTGGTGAATCATTATTCTTGCAACTACCAAAAGGCCCACATGTGTTATACAAGTCACATTGACCTTTAGGTACTACCTGCATCTTTAACCATTTATTATTTTCTGCATCCCAATCCATCTGAATTATCGCTCCCGAGGAATCTAAGTATATCAATATTGGAGAAGAGTAATTGAGTATACCATAAGAAAAATAAACTGTCTCCCCTTTATTATCAGTAAGTAGTTGAAAGCCATTGCTGTAGTCTTTAGTCATGCTAGGCACTCCTATGAAACTTCCCCGATTCCACTGTCCTGATCGAAAATGCTTCAACGAGCCATTTAAAACAATGACTTGTACAAGTTCCTGAGGATCCAACAGTGCGATGGTAAAACTTCCCAATGATGGATTTGTATCATCTTTCCAAGATGTAACAATTATTTGTTCCCCTGTTCTAGTATTCAGACCTATCTTCATACGAGGCAAGAGGGCGTCAGATGGATGATTGAAGCTCTCCCATAACACTACTGATTCATTCAACTTGTTCTCCCGAAGAACAAGATTCCCCTCATCAGTGAGTACAGCCTTAATAATGGTGTTGTTGGATGTTAAACTAAGTTGTGTAGACCAGACCACTGGCATACTATTTTTATCATGATCTACAAGGACCAAATTGCCATCACTTTCAATCATAAGAACTCCATTTGATCCAATTAATGGTCTTTCACGGTTTGCAACCCATGCAACTTTTTCAGTTGGTAATCCTTTGTACCATATTCCTACATATCGCCCTTGGGATCCATTAGGACTGAAGAATCCAAGCTCAAAGATACCTCCTGCTGAAACTATAGTTTGACCATCTACAACTTGTTCATTCATTGATATGGTGTCTGTTGCTAAACAAACTTGATGTATGAGTATAGGACATAGGTAAGGAATTAGAACGACTATGATTAACTTTCTGATAGTGCTAGCCATGTCATTCCAGATGCTAATTCTCACAAAGAAATACGGCTAATTTGTGCTGCTTTGCTTCATTTATCTCCATAGTCGGTTGCGGATACTGGATGGTTAAACCCAACACAAAAAAAAAAAAAAAAAAAGAAAGAAATATTTTTGAAGCATCTCACTGAAAGTCGACAGAATTTGAATACAAAAAAACTATGTGGATACAATATGAATTAATGTCATTCTCAAGAAAGCAGTTTGTTACATCGATTATGATTTATGAAGTATTCCTTGTGAAATTTTGTGATATATTACTAGGTCCAAGGATGTTAGTTATTAGACCAATGTGAATAATTTTTTTGTGGGTTTTCTTCCAAAGGACGTAATACATTGCAGGTGGAAAAAGACAGGCTAAATAGTTAATCACGAATGATGTTATATGTGGGACTATTTTATACTTGAAAGTTGAAACATGGTCATAAGTCATAACACCAGAAAGTCAAACTCTTCAATACAAGAACAATACACATATGTGGCATTGCTTTTTTCATCGGCAAATTTGCTTTAAAAACAATTCATTTAGTGTTAGAGCGAATTGACCTATTAACCATCTAGAATTCGTAGCTGACTATCCCGAAATCAGGATTCATGCCGCATTCCCTGCAAGAAATTCTCCATTTTCAAGGCTCGAATCAGGTATCCCGACCATCCCAACCATCCATCGTGTTAGGTGTTTGTCCAGATTTTTTTACCATAATTGGTTTCCTATCTCATGAAGGAAAGGACCACATATTTACCATAATTGGGTTTTTCTTTTCCTAGAAGGAAAATATAATTCTTCCATATTTAGCTAGTCCCTTTTCTTGTAGGAAAAAGTTTGGAGTTCCATAAATTGAAGATCCGTCCTTCTCATTCAGTAGCATCCACAATGTAGCCATATGGGATTTGAGAGTCGTGTTTAGGGGGAGAACTTTACGGGGCAAGTGTTAGTGTGTCACTTGTGTTTGCCTCTTCGTAAGGTTGTTCTCTCGATATTTTGTACTCTCTTTTATTATAGTGGATTGCTTATTTCCGCCGTGGACGTAGGTCAGTTGACCGAACCACGTTATATGTTTATGTCTCTTTTGGTATATTTCTCTTTGTTGTATGGTTTATCGTTGTTCAAGGTTTGCTTTGCTAGCTTCCGCATGACACCTGATTTTTTCGGTCCTAACACATCGCACCAATTGGTGGTATGTAAAACCAAGTTGTACTTAATTAGTACATAGTATTTCAGTCTTTTGTGGCCTTTACACTTCTTTGAGAAAATAACTTGGAAAGGTTAACTTGAACATAGCAAGCCTGCACAGTACTAATAAGATGGAACAATATCTTAACACCATGAGAAACATCACAGTTATATCAGTAATATAGAATGGTATCGTTAACTTCTTTGCAGTGAAGAAAATTGAAGCCAGAAAAAAGAAGTGAAAATGCATCAGAACACATTCAGATTTTTCTACTGTTTTTGCAAGGAAATATGGTAAAAACTGAAAAGGCCAAATACATAAGCGGCCCTTAATGTTTTCTTCAACTTCGTTTTGACACTTGAATTAAGGCTTGTTCCTACTAGACATTCCAATAATATTCAAAGTGTACCTATTGAACACCTCTTTACCAATCAGTTAGAAAAATATAGTTTAGGGGTGTATATGGACCAGGTTGATTCGGTTTTTACCAAAATCAAACCAAACAAATTATATCGGTTTGGATTGGTTCGATTTTGTCAGATTTTTCAGGGTTTTCGGGTTTTTTGTTACTTAAATATTATTTCAATCTTACTTTGTTAAATTTTTTATAAGTAAATATATGTTTAGTAAAAATATAAAAAATTGACAAACATATTATCTATTAAAATATTCTTATGAGAGAATTTTCTTAGTAACACATAATAGTTATTTTTTTAGTCGTCTGACAATAATATTTCGTTGACGTACACTTTCAAGGTTAACCGAATTTAGTAATTAAACATAAAAATCAATATGATACCTAAATAATAATAATCACTTCACACTCGAAAAAGATATAACAATTTAGTAGATATTAATATATGATATGAATATGGAAGAACAAAGAGATTGACGCATTTCAGTAACACTTGGTGAGAAAGTGATCATACAACTCATTATTTTAAGTTAATAAATATGGAGCGCTTCATATACTGTTAAATATTATATCCTGCTAGATAATCCAAAATATTTCTAGACATTTGTTAAAGAAAATTCTATATAAAATCTTAAAAGTATATATAAAAATTATATATTTATATGTCGGTTTGGTTCGGATTTTTTTACTCAATACCAAACCAAATCAAACCAAACCTAGTCGGGTTTTTTAATCGGTTTGGTTTGACTTTTGGGTTTGGTGCGATTTTCCGGTTTGGTTTGTACACCCCTAATATAGCTTATTTATTTGGCCAACTAAAAACCAAACACAAAAATTAACAAATGACCAGATCAAATACATTGATCTTATGTACTTCCATAGCAAGTGATGCAGGAAGCTTGACTTTAACAATAACCCTTGACTCATAAGTCTCTAAACCCTTATAATATTACACTGATAATAGTAATTATAAACACCTAGGAAAGGAGAGGAACTTTGCTTTCATGTAATAATCATGGCACATATTTGCAGCACTCCATGTTTGATGATAAAGCACTCATGCGTTCTAAATATAAACAACTCATCGAGCACTACGCAAGAGACTTCAATTTGGAACAATATGATTCCTTGTTATTATTCCACATCTAGAAAAGCAGATGGAGGTATAAATATTATTCTAGAAACTAGGAGTGCTTATCGGACGGATCAGACGAATATTTCTTTTAACGGTTTGACTTATTCGGTTATCGGTTTATAAATTAAATGTAGTAATCCACCAGCCATCCAATAAGACATCGCGCGGATTGATATCGGATTAGCAATTATCCGACATTTTATCGACTAAATTAAATAGACAATAAAAAAAGAAATTAAGAATAAGTGACTAGGAAAATTTGGAGTAAAGCATTACATCTGCTCGGCACTCGCCTCTAGTCAAGCATTTATATAATCCAGTTGGTTTCAGCAATATTGCTAATAACAAATTCATGTACAGAGAGAGATATAGGCTTCTTAATCTCAATAGACTAACCTTGTAAAATAAAGCTCTTTTTTCTCTTAGATGAAAATGATAATCAACATCATTTGTTTATCATATAGTTCAAGATTGTGGCTTAAGCATATGCACTCTATATCTGTTACTCACCAGATCATGATAACAAACAAAATGATGATGTACAGTGGCAGCACAATATACAGATCTTGTTCTTTGAAGGCTTAGGCTAAATCACCACCACTCTATTGCCACAAATTGATGATACCGGTAGCCTGATTAAGAAGAATAATCATCTGCTTCTATGATATTCAAGGTTTATTCTCCAACATGACTTTAAATATTACTTTATATACATAGGGGTAATTAGTGTAAATATGAAAATTCTTAACGGTTTATCCGATAAGAAAATTGACTAATCCGCCCCAAAATATTAAGCCGTTAATTATAAAATTTCTATTCATTCGCCAACTATTATACCAATAATCCGATACCAATAAACTATTCTTGCCGTTCGATTAACGTTACGATTCGATTTTCTAACAGTCCTACTAGAAACTGAATAGAGGTTAAGATAGAAAGGGTATAAGGAGGTCCATAAGTTGTGTTTCAAATTATAATGCGCATAATAATGCAAGAAGCCAGTTCATCCGCAGTGATAACTTTAATTCATTGATGTTTAATAGGAAATCTAATCATGTTTAGTGGCATCCAAAGATCAGATGATAAACGTATTGGAGTATTTCCAAGGCGACTAATAACTACTCCCTATGTGAATATATTACTATTTGGGAAGTCGAACAAGCTAATTTTTTACCACATTTCTTTTGCAAATACTTTTTATTTTGAATCATTAACTATTGTGACTTATATTATTTTTTAAAGTAGTTTCTAAATATGTAAATTTTATTTTAGAAATTTTAAAAATTCCATGTCAGAATTACTATTTTAGTTCAATTTGATTGATTCAATGAGTCAAGGGGGCTAGAAGTATTCGTTGGTCAGTATGGTACGATATTTAAATATTTCAATTCGGTATTTTCGGCATTAGATTTCTTAAAATGATCTACAAATACCATACCTAATTATATTCAACATGGTTTTCGCTTATCTCCATTCGATTGGATTATTCGGCCCAGTAATTTCTGTTTGTTCGACTTGAATATCTAACTAGTGCATAGAGCCATACACTATAATATTCTTAATTTAAAGTACTTACACATGCAAAAATAAAAACATTCTAAGCTCACCTGACTGTTGACAAAATCTTTGTCCAAAACCAGCAACTATCAACCCATAGAGAGAAAAAAGGTACATAAAAAAATAAATTTGATAATAAAAAATATCGTGTTACTTGCTTAGAGTTAATTGGTGAACCAAGAGAATACAACAAGGACTAATCCAACATATGTAATAACAATACATGAGTAAAAAATACCCTACAACTGTAAAAATATTATGTTAAACTGCTTGACAACCTGGAAAGTAAGAGTCAGAATCTGCAGCCTATCTTGTTCCTCCATTTTCCTAAAGAAGTATATGAGCTTTACTGTCAGCCTCAACATGAACGCCAATGAAAAGTGTTGTGTAACTTAGTATGTTATAATCAATAATATGTGTATTGTGTAACTTAATATCTGTATTATTTTCTTAAATACTAAATACCATTCCTAATATCAATTTTTTATAATCTTAAACCAAATATCATACCAATATTGAAATACCTAATACCAAATACTATAATTTTTTATTTCAATACGGTAATTTGATATTTACCAAATTATGCAAAGTCCTAAAGACAGCAATCCACTCAAATAGAATAGTCCGTCTTCAAAATCAACGGTTTCAAATGCTAAGTTATCTCTCTTCCACGACTATAAATAGCATTCTTTGTAAAGATAAAGGGACATATCAAAAGTTACAAAAGAAACAAGAGAGATTATAAAGAACAAAACATTCAAGCATCCAAGTAATAAGATGCAAATTTGTTTACCCTAAAAACGGATCACAATTGAATTTATATTGTGGTTTTTAAGGACACGTGATTCATTTGGTACAAACTGTGAGAAAACGTAAATGGATATTGAAATTAACTACAAATATAAATAAAACAAACCAAATGAAATGTATAGCTTTAATCCTTGAGCTAGGTTGCCCTCGAATCAACTGACTATTTTTCCAGAAACTATGAGTAAAGTAACAGGAATGTTGAGAGCTTAAGAGAAAGTGAATATATTGCTTTTGTAACATGAATATGATGTCTTTTACAAATTATCAGACCCCATTTATATAGTAGGGGGAGTCCTATTCTTGGTACAATTCTAAATATAGTAAGAAATCACATGATTGGCTAACTAATCAACCTCTTCTTGATAC